GTGATGTCATGGCCAACATCAAACCTGGCATGACACATCTTGCTGTCTCCGAACTGAACGCAATAACTTAATCAAAAGGGAAGCTATGTAGAGAGAAAAATAAAATAAAAAATATATAGGCATGTTCCTCTTATCAGTGTGACATTTGTTTTCTGCACAGTCCTGTGGTCTCAGAACTTATGGTTAAAACATCACGTAAAAACAGAAACACAGTTGGCCGGCAGTGACTCCTAAAATGTAAAGAAGTTTAAACACCTATTTGTGATGATCACTTTAGGACTGATACCTTAGCAGTAAATCAGACAGAACTGGAACCACAATCATTGCAAAATGATTGAAATCCATGAAAATATCAAGCAAACTGTTCAACACTGATAATGATAAGAAATGTTTCTTGAGCAGCAATTCAGCATATTAGAATGATTTATGAAGGATGACGTGACACTGAAGACTGGAGTAATGATGCTAAAAATTCAGCTTTGCAATCACAGGAATAAATTATATTTTAAAATAAACTAAAATAGAAAAACATTATTTTACATTATTCTAATATTTCAAATGATCACAGTTTTTTTTATCAAATAAATGCAGCCTTGATAAGACTTCTTTCAAAAACATTAAAACCTTGCCGACCCCAAACTTTTGAAGAGTAATGTATATCGTTATCAATTGCATGCATTTTCTGTCATTTAATCAATGCCAGTTTTAGTTGTTTATTACCCTGTCTGTTAACAACACTTTTTGTTTTGGTCATGGTTCCTGGAAACGGTCTTACATCACCATAACCACATGTTACTATCATTTTTTTTTTTACATTAACTCATACATATATAACACCTTTAAACTGTTTTATTTTAATTGCTTGAGTCATTAAACATCTTTAGAATGTGTGTGTGTTTTTCTTTAGTATTTTTATTGGCATTATGTTCAGAGAGTCGAAACTCTAGTTGTAGGCGACAGTCTGGTCAATCCATTGGCGGAGATAAGACACGCGGGCGTAGACGGCTGGGGCGCGAACATTGCAGTCACTGCTGCCCCAGGACACGATGCCCACCTGATACCAAACACCTGTGCTCTCACACACCAGAGGACCACCAGAATCACCCTGTAGTTGACAGACGAACCCATAGACACATCAGGACCAAATCACTGTATATATTCATAAAAATATAAAGGTATCTGTCTTCACATACCTGGCAAGAGGAGACACCGGAGGCTCCAGCGCAGATCATAGCATCTGTGATTCTGCTCTGACCCCAGTATTGCTTGCACTGAGCAGGACTCATAAGGGGCAGTGCGGTCTGCTGCAGGATATTAGGACTTGCTGTAAAAACAAAGCAAACAGATGAAAATCAAACCACTTTGTGTCATTTTAGAAGTCATTTGAATGTTTTGAATGATGATGATGATGAATTTACAGGTGGTTCCAGTTCTGCCCCATCCAGTGGTGACGCAAAGAGTGCCAGAGGGGATGCTGGCGGTGGAGGAAGCCAGACACACAGGAGAGATACGGGACGTCAGCTGGGCTGGAGAGGACAGTTTCAGCAGAGTGATGTCATTGTTGAAGGTATTCCCATTGTAGTAAGGGTGGGTGATAGACTACGGTGGGAGGAAGATTGACTGTTACTTCATAGGTTTTAGTCATAGTAGATGGTCTGTTTAATTTGATGATTAAATATTATATTTAAAGGTTTTGAGGAAAAGATAGACAAGCTGTTCAGTAGGGTTGTTTCTTTATGTTCAAAATTTCGGAGTTGGTAAGATTTTTAAATATAAATCTCTAATGCACACCAAGGCTGCATTTATTTGATCAGAAATACAGTAAAACAGAAATATCGTGAACTATTATTACAATTTAAAATAACTATGTTCTATTGTAATATATTTTAAAATGTAATTAATTCCTGTGATGACAAAGCTGAATTTTCAGCATCATTACTCCAGTCTTCAGTGTCACATGATCCTTCATAAATCATTCTAATATGCTGATTTGGTTAGAGAAAACGTACTGCGCCATGGTACAACAGTAATACCCATTCTCTCAAGAAAGAAACTCGTAGTCTTGAATGCAAATGGAGAAAAACTAACTTGGAAGTTTTTAGAATTGCGTGGAAAAACAGTATGTCCAGCTATAGACAGGCTCTAAAAGCTGCCAGGGCCGAGCATATCCATAAACTCATAGAAAATAACTAAAACAATCCAAGGTTTTTATTTAGCACAGTGGCTAGATTAACAAATAACCAGACGCCATCCGATCTAAATATCCCCTCACAGTTATGTAAATGACTATGAATATCTTCACTGATAAAATAGATAACATCAGAAATACAATAACAAATGTAGATTCTACAGCGTATAATACTTCAGCTTCATTCATCGCACCAAAAGATAAACTGCAGTGCTTTACAACTATAGGACAGGAAGAGCTAAATAAACTTATCACTGCATCTAAACCAACAACATGCCTGTTAAATCCATACCCACTAAATTACTGAAAGAGTTGTTACCTGTAGCAGAAGAACGGAGATAACTCGTCGTTATCTTTAGGTCACGTCCCAAAACCAATCAAGCTGGCGGTTATTAAGCCTCTTATTATCTTATTAAATTCGGATAAGACAGAGCTATTACTTATTGGACCAAAAGACAGTACACAGAATCTCTTGGATTACACTTTGCAACTAGACAGATGAACTGTTACTTCCTTCACAGTCAAAAATCTGGGTGCTATATTAGATAGCAACTCAAATCATATTTCCCATGTTACAAAAACAGCATTATTCCATCTTAGAAATATTGCCAAGTTACAAAACATGTTACTTGTTTCTGATGCAGAAAAGGTAGTTCATGCATTCATGACCTCTAGACTGGACTATTGTAATGCACTGCTAGGTGGTTGTCCTGGATCCTCAATAAACAAGCTACAGGTAGTCCAAAATGCAGCGGCTAGAGTCAAGAAAATATGATCGTATTACCCCAATTTTAAAGTCTCTGCACTGGCTACCTATTAAGTTCAGTATCAGTTACAAAACATTATTACTTACCTTTAAGGCCCTTAATGGGTTAGCTCCTGCGTTCCTAACTAGTCTTCTACTACGCTACAATCCATCACGCTCCCTAAGGTCGCAAAATTCTGGACTTTTGGTAGTACCTAGGATA